AAAAGAACACTACAATGAGAGATACTTGAAAAGTTTGTTCAGAGTAGCTCAACTCATCAGCTTACATCGATCGCTGTTGGCAATGCCGGTTGTCTTTCTTCTGTCGGATATCTGAAGTAAAATAAGAGATTAATTCTAAGGCAGAAAGCTCTATAGAGAAAACTGAACTCCGTTTACGTAACTGAGCGGTTATTCGCTTGATAGATCTACCTGATAAAATGCCGAAGCTGGTGCACTACTAATCGTTTCTTTTTAAGAAATGTAGTTTCATTCGAAGAACAATGGGAAAACAAATTTGTTGACGATAATACAAGACTAAGAAATATCCAATGGGGTTTGGACAGGGAACAGGATAATAATCGATTTAGGTACGTATAATAAAAGCTGAAAGTCAGAATAATCATTTTCTTAACATCGTATTTATTTATAGCCATTATGGAGAATTAACGCTCGAAAAGGAGAAAAAAATCAAGCAATCAAAAACAACCAAAGTGTCGATTAGAAAGTAAGAAAAGGACATTGACAAATAATAATAATAAATCGACAAAAACTTAGTTCAACTTATCTTACTTTTTTCAAGTAGAAAAGTGTCAGAGTGATGTTAGGAACATTTTTCACTCCCTAGTTTCATTTGATCGATAAAACTGAGTTCCAACATTAGCATACATTTTGCAAGTTTTCGGTTAAGGTCGATATAAAAAAGAACTTTTAATTCTCTAGTGGAACTTCTTGTATCCAACATCTTAGGTTAAGAAATGTCACAGGATCTTGGAAAAAACACTAAGTCAAGACCTTGGATTCTTGAATTTTACACTCAAGATCTTGAAACATTTTGGCTTACTCCACTCGTGATCTTGAGAACAGAAATTTCAAGATCTTGAGTAAATCTACTCAAGACGCTGCAAGAGCTAGAGTGAAAAGTTTTGTTTACATTTTTATTTTATTTATAACAGTCAAAGCCATCGCATATATGACCATACAGAGTCATAGATTCTTCCTTAAACAACTATGGCCAAGCAGGAAAAAAATTCGGAGTCATTCTAAGTGTGAAAATATTTACACTTATATTTGCACAAGAGTGTAAAACAAAACTGATTCAAGAATTTCCAAGATCTTGATTCAGAAGTCAAGAAATTACAAAATGTTCAAGATCTTGACTTCTTGAAAATCCTTGAATTCTTATATTTTCTTATCAAGATCTAACTGAAAGAATTTAAGAAGTCAAGATCTTGATTACAAGAATTTCCACTAGGGCTGTTTTCAAAAGCTTTTTTAAGTCGTCCTTTGTTTACTTTCAAAAACAGGTGAATGCAACAGCTTTTCAAAAAATAATGACGATCGTACGTGCCTCAAGTGTACAGATATAACTAGAAAACTCAAACAGTTAAGAAGGTTAAAATGATTTTAAATAGAAAGAGAAAATAGAACTTTGACAGATTTGTTTTATGACAAAAGAGATCATCGAGTAAACAGTTTAAGATTGACTTACATAAATTCAGAATACTATTTAGATCAATATTTCAGGGGAAAACAAATATATGACAGATATGCTTAATATTAGTCCAGGATGTCATTATTCATGTGATCATACTCGAATCTATGTTCGGTTAACTGTAAATATCAATAATACCGTAGTTTTTATCGGTGATGGCTTATCCATTGTAATTAAAGATAAAAGTAAAATATATTCAAAAATATCAACAATATGTATTGCTTTGAACTGTTGGATTCTCATTACAGAAAGGTATCCACCATCGCGTCTGTACGATACACCAGTATTAAAAGAAGCGAAAATTATCCGGGCTAATGAACGAATTTACATAAGCACAGGAAAACAACATGAGAAAAAAATTTCGTAAGTTAGTCATTCTTTTTCTATTGAAACATGCGAGTACATTTTATTCAGTACTTCTCTCGTTCTATTGCCTTTCATACATAAAAAAATGCCCTTCCATATGAATCATTTTCCTCTTATTTAGGTCTAAATGTAAAGATGCTAAACTGATGGTACGATTTACCTTTCTGCCACGACATACATGTCAAAGGTGGCCAAATATGAGCACAGAAGAAGAGGCCATTAACACACTAAAAATTGAACATGTAGATGTTGAAGGTCACATTGAAAGCAGCAAGGTAAAAGCAAAGTTGGAAGGAGATATGATAGCTTTAACTTACAATAGCGACCTGATTTTTTTAGTGTATGATTTCTTGTATCGTACCATGCAGACATGATTTGAATCTCATGTACGTTGTCATCAAACAATGGACTGTAATTAATCAAGATTACGACGCCTCACACTATTTACATATCAAAAAAAGAGAAATACAACATCAACAAAACATGATGAAAAGAATGAAAACTGAAACAACTATAGACATTAATGGCAAACATCCGGTTACACTTTATGAATATGAATGTTTAGATCTCACAACAACCAGTACGTTTTCTTCGTAGTACTGATATAATTTTTTTTTCTTTTCCATAGTATTATGTTAAGACTGCTGATTAACTTGTTTTATTATATTTATTTTAGGACAAGTTACAGCAACTGCTACTCCAACATATATCCATAGAGAGGGTAAAATATAGTTTCCTTTTCTTTCAAACTTATCTAGAATATTGCAACACAATTATAGTTATAATTGAAAAAAGGTCTAAGCTGACACTAAACCTCCGTTTCTCCATTATCTTTCTGCCTTTAGTAGTAACACATTGTTAAATGTAATTTTTTATTTTATTTCTTAGAAACCTTTTTGCCATACGAAACAGATAGTAAGTCTAAAATCTGATCATCTTTACATATAAAATTTGTACAAAACTACAATCCATCTTGCTGATCATTATAGGCTTCCTTGACTTCGGTATCACACTACAACAGCAGTCTCAAACATCTAGCACAACACAAAATCTTCCAACGACGACTGTAAACAATGAAATGATAGATTTTTCAAAGGTATATGAAAAATTTTGCTTATTAATCAAAAAAGCAGATTCCACTTCATAAACATCTTTTCCATTTGTTTCCTTTCTTTTAGGTTGATGAAAGACTATATTTTGAAAGATCCAGCCCATTTCAAGCTTTTGACGATTTATAAGAATGGCTTTCACAAGCTTTCAAGCACGCAAATACCTTCATATATTCTAGTCTTAACGCTTTCTTACATGCATCCAAGATTTCTTCAAGGAATAATTCGTTTATGATCTTACTCCAGATAAATTACTCTATTTCACATTTCATCAGTAATTCCCAATGAAAACGGATAAAACATTTCTGAATATTCATTTTTCTTATTCATATTATTTTTAACTGTGATATATTTTAATCTGTGATCGATATCGCATTCTATCGAGTACTATGATAATGTTCGATATCTATGCAACTTTTGTTTTCTTCCATGTTTTTATTAATGCTTTGAATTTACAGGTTTTTTTGTGTACTTTAGATAAATTATTTTTTTGTTTTTATAACTTTTTCTGTTATGTATAGTCTAAACAATCTATAGTTGAAAATACTTATTACAGAGCAAACTAAAATAACTATCGTAAGGAATTACAGGAACAAAATGCTGGAAACTTTATATGAACGAAATATAAAATACATTTGTTTTATGAATATTTTACTTATATTTACTTTTTTTCTATGATCAAGCTATAAACTGAAGTAACAAATTTTTTTTTTTGCACTATTAGACGATTTACATTGACTTTTTCTGTACAGAGGAATATTTTAACAATAAACAGTACGATAAGAAACACTATTTTTAGCACTTTAAAGTAGACAGTCGTATATACTTGTTCAAACATCTTACCGTCAGTCGCATTTTTCTTTCTCATTAATTGTTTAAGGGTGCACCTCCCTCCCCCAGGGCTGGGCAACTCCGTCGAAGTTCAACTCCAGCTCTGTTTTTAAATTTGGAATTCAATTCCGGTTGTTGTGTTTTTTTTCTTTATATAGCTACGAAAAAGATAATGAAGTCTATACTGATGAAAAGGGTACAGTCAATGTACAATAGAATGAATAGGCAAGATACAATCTAAGAAAGCATAGCAAATCAGGCTTATTTTTTTGGGGCCGGTTTGGAAGAAAACAGTATACATATTCTGGTCCGTTTTTCCACGTAGATTCCAAATCTGGTGTTGGTTTTCTGGT